ATGTACTACCCAACATTTTTCTCACGTCAGCTGAAATTGCCAAGTATTGGGGTAAGTATATTGTGGCTGAATTTGTTAAATGCCTACAAAATTGTGGAAATTTGTGTCATTACTTTTTGCTAGTTTTTTTCAAGTTTAAATGCCTGGTATTGCAACGAAATCTACATGCTTGAATAATGTAAAGTTTGTATTGATCATATTCTGTTCATTCACTGCCAAATTTAATTGGAGACTAGATTCATTAGTGTTTGGAGACCTGAGTCCAATGCATAATTGTCAGCTGTGTATCTTTGAATATAAAATGACACATTGACTTTCTGGGTCTTCATACTGTAGTCAATACAGAATGGCGTAGATTTTGAAATGACTATTGCTGACTTTCCGTTGTACGTAGATTCGCTTTTCCTCCCTGTCGTTGACGGAATCCTTTTAAAATGCCGCGTAGCAAAACATATTTCACCTGAGGAATGAGCTGGGGAAAAAAGCTTTTTGATTGATTGCATTTGCGAAAAAGTGACCACATGTCTTGTGCCACCGCCACTTGAAATAATCTCTCCTGAATATCCACGGCACAGAGTTAGTATATGTCAAAAAATTGCCCAAGGGATAAACAATGACACGGGATTTACAAGGCCAGTAGCTTTTGATCTCCGCAGCTTAGACTGTAAACTTTTACCGATTTCAGATAAATAACAATCGATCATAGGGCCAACCAATTCCAGTTTGTTGCCAACTACTTCCTCGAGCTTGGTCGTCCATGTTAAGCATGCCATAATTTGGCTTACGTTTTGCTTTTCGAACTGCTTTAATCCAATCTTGCTCGACTGTAAATTTCATCTTGGTTACCGACATGTTCCAAAACTTTTCACCCCTTTCTTCACCTTCTTTTGAAGCCTTTATGTCAAGCATTATACTATCCTTGTTGTCGGCCATTTTTGCATAGTTGTTTGTCTTGTGAAGGCATACCCCTGAAAAAGCGAGCCTGCACGAGTGGGAGATGTTTCGAATGTTTTGACCAACGTGATTTACCTTTTCGTCCATCTGATCTTTGTATGTTAAATTAGCTCTTCTCCTTCATCCTCAGCTGTAACAACCTCCAAGTACTGCTCATGAACACTAACAAATTCACTCCATAGTTTATCATACCAATTTTTCTTCGACACAATCTCGTCAGTATTTTCTAGTCTCGCATCCATAAATCCTCGAATGTCCTCTTGTAATCTTGATAAACTGTTAATATACTCCAACCTGGACTTGAATAGACTATTTATGTTCTTCAGCATATATTCTTCACGATTCATAATAACTAAATTTAGTTGCACTTCAATAATTGCAAATCCTTTTTCTCAGTCTACTTAACCATAAAGTTTAATGTACACAATGTTCATAATATATTACTCTAGATGAAACCCCATCCTCAATACTTCATGTTCCACAATAATAATATATCCAAACAATATTAACTCGTAATCACAAGTTTTATTACCGAAACCAGTTCGACGTGTTCAAGCTGACAATTTAAGGCTATAACCAATGTACTGTACAATACAATATTGTTTTCTTCCTAAAATATATCCCTTTAAGAACAATATGTTTACACCCAACACACCAATGACCGAATAATTCCGCAATATCGATTCTCTATCGCAAACAACTATTAAGTAATACACTCTCGTTCAACAATGCAATATGAAATAACAATAAAATCTTCTTCCTGAAGACCAAACCCTTTCAAACGTATTAAATTCTGCTACAATTGTTCTGTTCGTGAAAAATTGACCAAAATTAAACCTGCAACTGACATTTTTGTATTTTCTACAGGTTTTTGAGTGGTTGTGCTTTTGATAAGTATTGACTAACTCATGTAATTCTGGTTCTGTGTTTTTATCTTGAAGGCTGGCCTGAACATGGTTGTCAATAAATCGTATATAGGTGTCCTTATCATTAGATGTTAGCTTAGGGCAATCAGAGGTCCATATTAATGCATGTAAATGAGGTGATCCTCTCATTTGAAATTCAATATGAAGTGCATAGTAGATTATTTTTCCAATCGGGTTGCTTGGACGAAGTAAAACATCAGTGAAAAATGTTTCCACTCTATGTTGAAAGTGTTTTGCAACAACAACAGGATTAAGATTCAACATTAAACATCTTTCATTGTAAGATAATGCTTCAATTTCCTCTTCTGTGATGTCATTACCTTGTGTTTTTGCAATAATTTGAAATAGTTCTGGCCATCTGAGATCAGCACATGACAATGTCATAAACCATGTTGGAATTCCTAATTGTTTCGCCATTGCTACTACTTCATACATAAATTTTTGCCAATATGGTGGTGCAACCTCGTACCCAGGGTCTTCTGCGTTCACGGGGCGCGGAACTACGCGACGAAGACCCTGGTCGGGGCTGATGACGTCACAGCATGGGAATCTATCGCCTCAGGGGGTGTAAGAAAAGATATAATATTACATGCTTCCACTTTCCATGCTTTCATTCCCGTTTCCGCCATGTTAGACTACATCGCATTTTTATCTTGCTTGGAATTTGCTCTTTTAAATAGTGTATACCAAAACACTATTCTAAAACCAAAACAAATTATTTGTCTGGAGAACGTCTATCTTGAAAATGATGTGATGTGTGTTTTACCAACGGGCTATGGGAAGTCGTTGATTTTTCATCTGCTGCCAATGTTGTTGTTCGCCAAATTCAAGTTGCTTGGCGATTTGCGTTTTTCATGGAGATCACGAGGCCTTTCTGCGACAGTAGTGAACTCAATTGTTATCGTTGTGTCGCCATTGAACTCTTTAATGAGTGATCAAGTATCTCGCCTGAGCATGAGCGGCATTAGATCGTCGATTATAAACGTGAAGGAAGCAAGAGAAGGTCAAATAACGTACGGTTCAGAGGATAGTGATGACTTAGAAACTAGCGCTGAAATCGATTTAAGCCATTGCGAAGAGGAAAAGCTACGCGATGGTTACTATCAAATTGTTTTCGCCCATCCAGAGACACTAATCTCGAGCAAATATGGGCGTAATTTACTTTTGAGCAAGCCATATCAAGAGAATGTTGTGGCAGTTGTGATTGATGAAGCTCATTGCATAGTTGACTGGTTAGTAAACAATTCAAAAAGTTCAATTCTGTTTAAACCTGTTGTCTTTATCTAAAATTATTCATTTACTTTGTTACTACTCAATACTTAACACTACCTGGTATGTATTTGATTTACATTTTTTAGGGGGAGTGACTTCAGACAGGACTACAGAAGGTTGGGTGTCTTATGTGCCTTATTTCCTCACGTACCTGTCATTGCAATGACTGCCACTGCTTCTCATGCAGACGTCAAGTGTATTAAAGATTCTTTGGGGTTAAAGAAATGTAAGAATGTCATTGGCAATCCAGATAGGAAAAATATTTACTATAAGAAAGTACTTCGAACCGGGCATGATGTTGACACCATTGAATCAATCCTGATGCCAATTGCAAGTGATCTTTTGCAGCAAAAGATTGCATACCCTCTAACTATTATATACATTTCATTACGTTTGTGCGGCTTTGCATATAAGCTGTTTGAACATGTTCTTGGAATCGAGCAATACTTTCCCTCTGGTGCAACTGCAATTCCAGCAAATAGGCTATTTGCACAGTATCATTCTCCACAGACTAATCAAATGAAAGAAGAAATCCTGAAGCAGCTCTGTTCTGGAAAAAGTACAGTTCGTGTGGTCTTTGCTACCGTAGCAATTGGGATGGGGGTGGACATACCTGACATCCGCTAGGTTGTGCATGTTGGACCCCCCTGCACTGTGAAAGAATACTTTCAAGAAACTGGACGTGCTGGTAGGGATGGGAGGTCATCATTTGCTGTATTGTATTACAACAACAGGGATATTGGCAAAAACAGAGTTGGAATGCAAGACAACATGCGTGATTTTTGCTCAAGCACTGACTTATGCTTAAGAAAGTTATTATTAAGATCACTGGATTATGAATTAGATACAGTCCATAAACCATTACACTTGTGTTGTTGTGTATGTGAAAATCTTTGCAAGTGTTCAACTTGCTTACACCTTCTTATGGAGAAACTGTAAGCTTCAATAAAATTTATGTTGTGCAGCAAATTCAATAAACAGTGCACATGGAATAGAAAATCACAGTGTCGAAACCTTATGATAAAAGTGTTCATGTAACTGATCATGCATTCTTTCAATGTAATATAATCTTAAGCAGACAAAATTTGCACAAATTTTAAATTGAGATTGCAATTAATGTGTTTACTGAATCATAGTTGAATATGAAACAATAGTTTTCTAGTACCATACTTTGCACTTTTGACCTATATGAATTATATACAAAGAATATATACAAAAATTATCATGGTACTTCTATTACATTATCTTGTACATATTTGTCAATTAAAGTTCATGCGCACTTCACAAACAACATGACGGTTTAATGGTTTTAAAACTAGTTTCATGCAAAGAAAAGCCAATAAAAACCCAGCATACTTCTCTCAGTGCTACCCATAAACTGGTAAGATTTGTTGTCAGTTAGATTAAGCATTAGGCATCGCCATTGCTAGAAGCTTAATTGGCATAACTAATATATATATATATATATATATATATATATATATATATATATATATATATATATATATATATACACCCATTTGCAAAAACATTGGCTGCTGATAGATAGATAGATAGATAGATTCTCGAAGTCTAATTAGAATTGCATATGATTACATTTGCATGGGATTTCAATCATATTACACAACATATGCAATTCTAATTAGATTTCGAGTATCTATCTACATATCTATCTGCGGCCAATGTTTTTGCAAATGGATGTATATATATATATATATATATATATATATATATATATATATATATATATATATATATATATAGTGAATTAATAAATGGTCACAGGGCACTTCACCAGTCATGGGTTAAACAAACATTCTAATTTGAAACAATTCTCTTTCAAGCAGTTCACTCATCCTGACTAGATTGTTCAACTGGATAGTGCATTGCAATGTTTTTCTTGTGGCGATCAATCCATTCCTTAAATTTAATTTCATCCAATGAATGGGTTGGATCATGTGAGATGCCATCAAAGCTCTCAAATGATCGACCATCTTCTTCCTTAAAAGGCCTTAAGCCTCTCAAGTCCCTACTAATAACTTTCTCATCCTCAGTGGATGATTTGTGGGTGTGGGATCCTGATTTTTTGGAAATATTCACCTGCTCTTCAAATGCTTCAACAATCTTCGCAACACCTCCAGATGCTTTACTTGCTCTCTCAATTGCTCTCTCTGTCTTGTTGGCACCCATTGACCTGATCAACTTCTTCATCTCGCAGTTTCTATTCTCCTGAAAGAGATCAATCTCAATGTTGCGACCAATGCCACCTCTCCAGTTAACTGTGGCAGCCCATTTGCAGCGATGAGCCTCAGCTTCCGACAATAACACCTCACCCTGGAAGATGTTGATCAACATTTCAATGGCAAATTCATTAAATCCAGGTGTTGCAAAGAAATGGGTCAACAGCTGCTTCCTAAGGATTGAAATATATTCACCATTGCCAGAGGAAACAGCATTCTTGAAATCAGCAAGCACCATGAAAGATTTAAGAATGTTGACACCATAGCACCAAACACCATCGGTCACCTCAATTTCCCCATGGAAAATATATTCATTGAGAAACTTTTCTAGAGTCTCATTGATATATGTCTTCATGTAGCTTTCTTCTAAGACGTAAACACTATGAGGACCGTTCACTGTTGGTTTGCACTTATCATCATCCATTTGGAAAAATTCCAATAGGGCTTCGATAACAAAGCACTTACCAACACTGAAGAACAGCTGCTCACAGTCCTCATAGTGTTTAACGTCAACCGTCACATTTCTGCGATATAACTTCTCTCTAAAAAAGCAAAGTGTTCCCCTTTCTCTTCCTGAATTCTTGTACAGCTTTTTGAAAATTGTCTGAACAAATAAAATAGCCTTGTTTTATATTTTTGGAACTAAACCTCATTTCAATAGGGTACCATAAAATGTTAGCAATATAGGATATTGCAGAGGCTAGAGGTTGGTCTACCAAAAAAGTAAAAAACTTATTCATAAAAACTTATGATACTGTTTAGGAACATTTTACAACCTCTAGCCTTCTTTGAAATAGCATAGCTAAAATCAATACAGACACAGCATCACATCAGAGAGTCTGCAGTACTAGAATAACTACTGTTGATACAAATACACTCTTTGTACTCAATTTACATGAACAATTTATGATTTTTTAACAATATTATCTTTGTCCCCAAAGAAGTACAACTTTTTTGGGGAAAATTGATAAAATTTACTGGTTGGTTTACCCTATTGAATACCTCTCCCTTCAGTTCCTTGCCCCTCTAATTTAAATTAGTAAGCATACTGTACCTTCAAAAAACTTCTCTTTGTATGCCAGTCGACAATACAGAAAGTGTATAAATGGTCCAACCTCGGAATGGCACCCAGCTCTTAGATCTTTTGCCCCAGCAAATCAAACCCTTGTGAGTTGATCACCAAAACATGGGATTTTCACCCCATGCAATGGATCGCTGTTAGAATGAACTGGTGGGACATGAGAAGCAGGTTGGTCAGGCCTGGATGTGGTTCCAATTGTGGGAGTAACATCTTCCAATGTATCAGGGTCTAGGGAACATAGTCCAGCTGCTGCATAGATCTCGTGTGTCCACTTTTCAAGTTGATCCAAGACATCAACACAGTCAGAATACTTTTTTTCGTCTTTCATCACTACAGGCATTGTTAAGACTTCTGACTTTCTTGCCATCTCCTTTTCATACTCACAGTTAGTTCTCGCAGGTATATAGTCTCTGAACATTGCAAAAGCAGGGAACTGATCAAACAAAATGTTGGCAACAAGTATTTTGTACCGGTTCCGAATTGCATCAGATTCTAGTTGATTGATTTCCACAAGTTGATGGACATCGCAATCTTTCAGAAATTGCTGTGGACCAGAATCAAGCAATCCCTTATCAGGAACCCGGTTGAACACAATACTTGTTGCCACAGCATGGACACTTCGGTTTTGGACATCCTGCCTCATATCATGGGCTTTCTCTTCCCAATCAATATTGTCCAAAACATAAACAAAGGAAAGTCCACTTTTAACTAATTCTGCTGCTCGGTCGATGAAGTGCTTGCCAATGTCTTCCAGAATTGGGTATTTCATTTTCGGCTCCAGGCATAATCCATATTTATGTAGACAGGCAATCAGCTAAATGATACAATGAACAATGCTCAATATGTCATCTCCGCTACCTTTTCCTTTGTCCTAAGTTAGAACCTGTCTAATGCATTGCAAATACAAAGTCATGTCAAGGAGAGAGTAATACAATTTAAAATTACCACATATGACATGTTAGTCACTAATGCACATTGGTGTATTTATTACGTAGCAAAGGTTCAATGCTATAGGCTAGCTGCAAGCATCAGGCAGTAAAACAAAATAGTTGGTTGCAATTTGTAAAAAAAATGGTAAATAAGTAAAACAACTCACATTTACAGATGCCTGGCCTTCTATTAGCAAAACTGAATTAATGCGTTGAATTCTGCTTGATTCATGGCACCGCAGGAAGTTAATAATGCCATAAATAAGGCAGATAGCAGGATTCTTCTTTGCAGGATATAGGGAGCTTTCCAACAGAGTACATAGGATGTTGTTCACAGTTGGACATCTTGTTGACAACTCTCCTAGCACCTCTGACATCCAGGTGTCTGCAGACATTCCATCAAAGCCTCTTTGTCTAAGGACAGATGGCTGACTCCTTCTGGCAACATGAATCAGTTCTTTGTTTGCCACAGCTAAGATTTGATCATCACTCTTTAATATATAATAATAATATTTAAATATGAGATTTCTTCCCAGCTTTTCAAATTTACTGTTAAATAAGTATTTAGGCCTGTGATCTACATGTGTAAAAATCATCATGTTGATGCTAGTTGTTAAAAACAGGAGTGAACAATGTTGTGCTGCACCCTGCAAACAGTATTGTTAACAATGTTGTTGAAACTTGTTGAACTATCAATGCTGTTGCAGCTTGTTACAACAATATTGCATCAACACTGATGATTCAACAAGGTTCAACAACATTGTTAACAATAATGTTTATTGGGTGCAGCACAACATTGTTCACCTGATGCAACAACCTGATCAATTTTTGGCCGTGTAGGCTTTGACATGCAGATGCAGGTTGCAAGGTCATGACCTGTATACTGTGTGTATTATACTGCGTGTATTTAATAATAAAGCAAAATAAACAAGTTCCGAATAGGCAAGATGTTTTAAAGCTGGGACGTTCAGCGTGTTGTTTTGATTAGTATATAAACACACAGTATTATAAATACAGGATATTATTATAGAGGAAGGGAGGAACAGGAAAACATGAGTATAACGATATAACATGTGGCCACGCATGTGGCATCCTAAGTCATCATGAATATTAATTTTTAAATATTATTACAGCGCTAAATATTCAACAATAAATACTAATATTGACTATCATTAATACATGTATATTTCATGAAAGTAAACTTACAGTTAAAGGTGGTGGCGATGAAGTGAGACTCGACTCTGATTCACCTTGGCTGATGTTAAAGTCGATGCTGCGACGTCGCGGAGTTCCAACTAAATGAACTTTAGCAGGCGGTTTATTGACCGAAGGCGATACATCAACACAACGTTTTGCTCGGATAGATTCTTGTAACACGCGCTGAGTTTCCTCGATAACGGTCTTGAACTTTATCGCGTTGGTTAGTCTCCGATCACAAGGCGCGCAAATTAGGTGAGGAAGGCTATCGTTTTGTGGCAATTTACCACCATAAATACGCTCGGCGTTGCGTAGAACCGCCTGATTTTGAGAACGAAACAAATTCCTGCAGTGTTTCGGGTTAGTAACAGAGTTACACAGTCTACAGCGAGAAATACTACCAGTCGAATCGGTTTGTTTCTTGTAAAATTTTTTCGGCGTGTCTTTGCTAGCCATCGACTCGATTAAACTGAGCGGTTTCGAGCGTGCTCTTTGAAATTCGAGCTTTATTCGACGCATGGTATGCAATATGAGACTCGATACATAATACATGATGCTTTCCTGTGAACTCTTGCGACTTTTTTACTCCATATTTTGGCGCAATATAAATAGCTTTTTATTGAAAACAAAACATAAAATATTTGGAAATTTCCTAAAGTGACAAGCATGTTACTTTACCTCCCGACCCATGGTAAAATTGTACGTTTACCCCCAAAATCTGGGGGTGACGTCATCAGCCCCGACCAGGGTCTTCGTCGCGTAGTTCCGCGCCCCGTGAACGCAGAAGACCCTGGGTACGAGGTTGTATGGTGGTGTACCTGGAATCTGTCCTAAAAATAAATATGCTTGATCTTGACATATCAACCCTTTTAATTTATTTACATTTGATTTTATTTCAGATGCTGTGACAGATTGTCGTTGTATTTTTTTCAAGGCTATGTTAATGTTGTCAGATACCTTCTTTTGTTCTGTTATAAACTGGGCAAAGAAAAGGTATTCTGGGTTGGTTGCAAATCTTCCACTGTAATGTAATAGTCTAGCATTGAAGTATTATACTGGTGTCAATTTAATTTTTTGTTCATGTGTAAAGCCAAATCTACCATTTAGAAATAATACAGGGAATGCAAGCTCTTCACAATTTTTATCAGTCATTAATGAAACAGGGTGCTTGTTTTCACCAGGTGCAATGTTATGCACTTCACTTCCTAATGAGCACTTTTTACCATTTTTTGATTTTGTAATTGGGTAATCTGGTAACACAGATTGCGAACATGTCTCGTTAGGTGCTTGACGATAGTAATTTAATGGGTCATCCTGTTCTTCAATATCATCATCGTCATGATCATTTGCATCTGCAACATGTGGTGTTGTATCTGACAGGTTATCTTTCTTTATTGTAAGATTATCATGGCATTTTTGTTGCTGTAGAATGGTCAAATTATCTTCAAGACTACTGATATCAATTGTTATGTTATGATACAATGGGTTATGGACTTTAAGCCAGTTTAAGCCAGGTGTACTGCTTGGAAATACACATGACCCCTAAATTCAAGCTTTCTTTTCAGTTTCAACATAATAATACCAGATCTTTCTGGTGGTCGAGGTAAAATCTTACAGGACTGGTCACATTCAACAGGCACATTACATATTGCTCCTTTAACTTTTCTCTGCTGTCCCTTTGGCATCACAATAATTTTTTCAAAAACTATTCTTTGTGCAATAAGAATCTCCTCTAGTTTTTCTAAACATAGCAATTCGTTTGGCACATCATCAACATACATATCATTACATACTGCTTGACATGGTGTTTTACCTTTTGAGACTTTTGAGTGGCATGTTTTGCAAATGTACTGTTTTTGATCGAACAATTTAATATCTGTGAACAGATTTGCCATACTATTGCCATATGTAGATTTTTGCAATAAAACAACTGATTTCCTATACAGTAATCACTGACAAACTGAACATACAAAAAATGGTCCATCTTTTATTTTAGTTTTAAACTGTGATATACAGTTATCTAAATCAGATGGCTTAGACTTCTCGGATTTCTTCTTTAAAAGTTCATATTTTTTGCAGGGATCCATTGAGCTGTATTTCTTGGCCTGGTTTTCAAGAACATTCTTTTTCACAGGATCCATTGAGCTATATTTCTTAACACATGTTTCAAGGAGAACTTTCTTTTTTATAAGATGCATTAAGCTATATTTTTTAGCAAAATGGTTTCTCATTGATTTGTATTATTCATTCCTGGTATCCAGAAGTGATTTCTTTTTAAAAGGGTCCATGTTTTTATAATTTTATTTTCGTTCATCCAAGCATTGTTTTCTGCAGGTTCTAAATTTCTATAATCACTTCTACATTTGTCTAATATTGTTCTTTTCTGTCCAGAAGATTTATGTTTTCTTATTACTTTCAGTCTGTCTGAATTTGACAAGTTGTGTGAACATAGTAAAAATTGAAGATCATATGACACATTTTCACATTTTACTTGTTTCATAGAAAATTCATAGACTTTATCAACTAGACAATCTCGTGTATGACACATTTCAACTCCAATGGAGCATTTAAGATGGATCTCACAAGTTGTTGTTTTTTCAGAACAGATAATACACCCTGTTGTCTTATTGTGTATACTATATCCACCTCGGCATGAAGTATAGATATTTTTGGTGGGAAGTCTTCATGTGTAATATTATTTTCCATGTTTAGGGATTCATAAAACAATATAGCATTTTCTTCAATAGAATCCCTTGTGGAATTATCCGAGTATCTGCACAATTTAATGGTGGAAAAAAAATAGAGTAGATGTATATTGCACTTAATTTTGCAAATGTGATTATGTCAGGATTGTCAATAATTGCCTCATGTGAACTAGATGACATCAAGTCATTTGATTTTACTTGGTTAGTGTATGTCTTAGTTGTTGAATGCTCACTTGCTATAGTAATTCTAACACCTTTCAGTTCAAACAGAACATTACCTAGGTAACAAGTTTTGAAATATTCAACCAAGTGATCAACAGAGGTTACTTCTAACAATACACATGTTCCATACGCCTGAGCCATACCGAAAGGGATCTCTTGTATGTGATTCAAATATTTTTAGTGAGCCATTTGGCGATCAAATAAACAGATACAGTATTACACCCAATTGTAACAAGGAATGAATCATAATTTTTTTGTAACAAATTTTGCAAAGCACAAACAAAAGGCATAACATAAGGAATGTTTTCATCAATAGTAAGAGCATGGAGGCCACCTGTGTAACTTTCACTGAATTAAAAAAAATTATGTTGATTTGAATTTTGAAAAATATCAGTTATTTAGAAAAATTAGAAATAATAATAATAGCAATCAATAGTTGTCAATAAATTTTTTGTTCGCTGCTTAGACAAAGAACAATTTTTCATTACCATATTTTAACAATCACTTGCAGCCATCAGTGACAGTGCGCCAACTGGTCGTCAGAAAAGGATAATTTACAATCCACTTTGAGTCTTTGAGAATATTATAAAGTCGGATGTGATAGAATATTATAAAGTGGTAATAAATCTTGATCGCTACCTATTAGTTTAACTTACCGCCGTCATAAATATCTCCTTGTAAAGGCTTTGAATTTCAGACTGGCATAGTGGTATACTTGTTTTAATAGTCAGGAGGCAGTCTCCAAAAATGTGATTATTTAAGGGTTTCGCTAAACTTTTTGAGTAGAAGCTGGCAACATAGCTTAAAATTTTCGTACTCTAGTCAAGAATATCGCTGTTGCCACTCTCAACTCTTGCTAGTTTGGCCGCTAGAGGCCGTTTTTACAAGGCCTTTGCTCTGACAACATGAAAACGAGGCTGAACTATAAATATTCGTAAAATCACGAACAATAACTGTCAGACTCCCAAATATTCTATATATAGTATGAATAATTGCACTTACTAAGTCTACTTGGGCACTTTCACTTATTAAGAAATAAAGGAAGTGTCACGTGACTTGTGACATGTTTTGTTAATTTACTTGTAACAACATGCAATTGCTTCAACATATTGATTAGAAATTATTCTAAATTAATGATTGTAATGAGAATTCAATGGATCACAATTATATTTAGTATTTAATATATAAATATTGTTAGAACTTCGATTCTTCGGTCGGTGCTTGTTGATTAGTTTCCAGGCCACAAACAATATAAATATGCGCTAGATGGTAATGTTTAACATTTTTTTCTGTTTTTCGTGAATTTGCTGCGTGCGAAAGTTTTAAAAGTCGTTTTTGGAATTGTGAAACTTTCTATAATGTACCAGGTAATGAATATGTCAATGTTATATATCATTTGTAAATAATTCTTGTAATTTCTTTATTATTTAAAAAGTTTTTCAATACATTTTCAATATGAAATAATAATGTATTATGAAATTGAAAAGAAGTCATCCCACATGCAACCTATTAGTTTGCAACTTTGCATTGCCTTAAAAGGCGAAGGGAATAGATGAATTTGGCTCAAGAGGTTACTACAAGTAATTTCCAATTATAGATAGAAAACAACATTAAAGACCATGTAAAGTCCGTAACGTAAGCAAGGCGTTTATATTTTGAAGTCAGTGCTACAGTTGTAAAAAATGATTAGATATATATTATATTGTATTTTTCACATTCTTCTTGTTCGCTAGCTTGTAAATTAATAAAGACTAGATATTCAATTCAATAAAGTTGAAAAGGTGTGAAATATAAATAACATTCCAATGATGGGGTCCCGACCATTGATGTAAACATGCGCAGAAGCATGGTCAGAATGGACTTTACGTGGTATTTAAACGGTGAATTAATGTGAGTAACATGTGCAGTTTTCACAATCTGTCCGATGCATATGATTGAAAATAATTTAAACTACCTTTATACACGTTACATTATTAAGCTAAATGGCCTAATCATGATTATGTGATGTAAAGAAACAGCAATGGAGGAGGCGACAGCATACGTAGCTAGCGGCATTGACAATGACACGATCAAGATTGAGATTAATTATGGGAAATGCATCATTTGTCAAGGAAACAAGTTTCCGAAAAAAAAGTTTCCTCTTTCTAAAGCCACCGAAACCGGGATCTTGAGAGCTGTGCATTGTGCAGAAACCAGAGAAAGCTGTAAGGATGAGGTACATGTGCCCGCCATAAGAAGGCTGAAGGGCCTAAAAAACACAGAGACCAGGAACAAAAATGTGGTTTGGCACAGGTATTGTTATAGTGATTTTACGAATGCAAGTCATATTCGGCGTCTTCAAAACCGAATGTCTGACACAGAAGAAGAAATTGCAGTTGATATACACATAGGAGCCTCGAGGAGATCTTCAACTGATCGCATGGACTGGTCTAAATGTATGTTCTGCCAAATGGATTCCAAAGGTTTAAGTCAAGTACAAACCATGGAAACATCAGCAAAAATACTACGGAAAGCCGTATTTGATAAAGATTTGGGCTGCAAGCTTTGTGGCGTGAACGATTTGATAGCAGCAGAAGGTAAATATCACCTGAAATGTTACACAAAATTTCAAAGAAACACGGATAAAAATGCCGCAGATTTGAAAGAAGTGAACAGTGATCCCAGAGTTGCTTGCTTTGAAGAAATCATGTCCTCGCTTGAAAAGGGATTATGTCGTGGCCATATCTATTCGCTTAAAGCAGTTTGGAAATCTTTTTCCCATCGGCTTGAGTCTCATTATCACCTAGATCCTGGCGTTTACCGGGGAAACAAGTTGAAAGAGAAGATTCAGCTGTTCCTTCAAGATAAAATTACGTTTGTT